AGGGTTTAGGGTTCAGGGTGTATTTTGGACTTGCGGTTTCTGGTTCCCTGTTGGGGCTATACTAAACATGATCATTTTGAATCCTCATTGGGTTCTATTTCTAACAAAAAAGGTAAGTTTTAGCTAGCAAGGACCCAGCTTTAGGGCTTGGGGTTCTACAGCCCTAAACCCTAAACCCTAAACCCTAAACCCTAAACCCTAAGGGTTTAGGTCCTCGGGCTTGGAGGCTGGGGTTTGGGTTTTGTCCGAGAGGGGACCCTCAGTTGCACGATGCAGTGCCCGCAAAGGAGATGCTCCAAACTTGAACCTAAACCCTAAACCCTAAACCCTAAACCCTTAAACACCTCAGAAATGCGAGATTTAGGGTTTAGGGGTTTAGGGTTTAGTGCTTAGGGGGTCCTTGTTGAGCTTCGGATTTCGATCGTGGAGGTATTGGAGGACTCTGGGTTCAGGGTTTCGCGTCTGCTCTACCTGAGCCTGAGTCCACTAGGGCTGTTGGATTTCGGTGCGAGTTTCACGGCTTCGTGGCTTTTGGCCGGGCTGTATTCTGTGGAGCTTTGGGCTTTATTGTTTGACTCGAAACAGCCCCCCCCTGTGAGGCTGACTTGGACTCGCTGGTTTCTTATTCCCAACCTTCGCTGGATGTATAGCTGCCAGCAAGATAGCCGAACCCGATACCTTACCTAACTCATCACATGTGCCTCTCATCTCGCTGCACCAATCCCGGTGGCGGTGAGGGCGGATGATCCTCCTGCTGATGTTGCAGCTGATACAAGGCTTGAGGCTTCAGGAACTTTAGGGGATGTTGCCTTTCTAATTTCGGTGTCCTTGCCTGATCCCTAAACAAGGGTCACTCTTAGAGCATAAGCCCGTTAAGTCCCAAATCCTAAACAACACTCTTGCGCTCAAGTGTCCTAATCTCTACACGCAGCCAAACTCTAAACCCTAAAACCCTAAAAACCAAAACTTCAAACCAACGCCCTGCCTCTGCCATCGGCTGATCCGCGCAGGTGCCGGAGGACTGTGCCATCGGGGGTGCCTCCGTTCAGGGCGTCGGGTAAACGACACTTACACTTAAGCCCTAAAGCGACTCTAAACCCTAAGCCGAGTAATATAAAGGCATTCTAATAATTAGAATAGGGCTTGGGGTATATTATTGTATCATTATATTGAAGAGCCCCCAAAACCTTAGTCTAATTCTCAAGGCCCCTACATGACCTGATGAGGTGGCATAGGAAGTTTCAGTATGATACCCCAGGCGACGCGCAAACGACAGTGTACTTGTCTTCTACAAACCTGGTCGCCTGATGCTTCCAAAGCAGGGCTCAAAGCTTCGGGGTTTAGGGCTGAAGGTTAGGGTTCAGGGTTTCGGGTTTAGGGTTTAGGTTGAAGTCCGACCTAAAACTACCAAACCCTATTCTTTTTGGCAGGCTCTTACTAGAAAGCCTAATATGGAAGTGAACCATAGGTCTTGGTAGCTTAAGGTACACCCTTCACCCTAGTCACGGTGTACGGTTAAGTGGGGTCTGAAGGTTCGGGTTTGGCGGTTCAGCATGATGTTTTGGAGTTTAGGGGGTGTTAGGGTTTAGGGTTTAGGGTATCAGTGATTTTGATTTCAGACGCTGCTGTTCCGTGCCGAAGCTGTAAACCCAAACAGGTACGTGCTACGTGCCCTAGAAGCACTATGGATATGTACCGCTCCAGGACCAAACGGAACCTGAAAACTTTTCCCATAAAGCGCGGTGCTCTAAGCTAAAACCTCAAACCTTAAACCCTAAACCTTAAACCCTGAACCCTAAACCCTGAACCTTAAACCCTAAACCCCAGACCCCAAACGCTAAACTCTAGTCTCCTGGGTTTCGTGGAGTTGCGGTAGCTCCCTAAACCCTAAACCCTAAACCCCTAAACCCTAAACCCTAAACCCTATACCCTAAACCGTCTTGACATGCCGGAGGGCCTTCGCTCTCCAAAACGTGACCCTTCCAGGCCTTGCACCCTGAAGCCCCAAAGGGTTTAGGGTTTA